GTTTGTATATGTGGATAGCCTCATGAACAAATCTCTCATGGTAGCCAGATGGATTGCAAAGAACCTCTGTCTTGGAGAAGTCAATGTCATGTGAGCCTACTGAATTATAACAGTGATCTGCCATGGCCGAGGTGTTGGTCCTACCGTGTTTAAGGTCTGCTTTGTGTTCACGAATGCGGTCCGAGACATGGCGTTTGGTTTCTCCAATGTAACTACTACCACAGAGGCAACTTAGTTTGTAGACACCAGGGTACTGTATGTCGTGATAGCGAACTAATGCGTAAAATGCTCCGACATTTATAATGAACTTAGGTGGGTGACCACTATTGATTCCCATGTCACAGGGCTATACCTAATACATGAAAACTTGAAATGAAACTTGAAATAACAGACTGTTGAGGCAATTGCTGTTGGCGAGTAACAGCGTCTATGAAGGCTGGCACAGCACACGAGCAGTGGGTGGCCAACAGCAGGCCCGGCCACCAGAGACCCACAGAGACCCACAGGGACACATAGAGACTGACAGAGACACACAGAGACCCACAGAGACTCAGAGAGACCGACAGAGACACACAGAGACCCAGAGACACCCACAGAGACACACTGAGATACACAGAGACCAACAGACACAGAGACTCATAGAGACCCACAGGGACACACAGAGACCCGTACAGACCCGTAGAGACTCATGGAGACCCATATAGACCCAGAGTAACTGAGACTCGTAGACACCCATAGAGGCTCAGGGACTCACAGAGACCCATAGAGACACCATCACCACCACCATCATCACAACCATGATCATCACCACCATCACAACCACCACCACGATCACACTGCACCAGGTACTCATTTAAAGCCATGCCGACCCATGGAAAGCGGTTTAAATATTCGGCACCATTATTGGTCGTGAGTGGGGAGGAATTGAACTCTGTTCACTGGGTTCGCATCACAGCGTTGCAAGCCACCACACTGCCGCTCCCCATTAGGACGACGCACACGGCATTGACAACCTTGATGCTTCCGGTTGCTTGCGATGAAGTGACCGGTTGGCTCAGCCTGTCAAGAGCACCGAGCTGTACCGCTGAGACCATGGGTTTGATATTCAGGCAACTTGCTTGTGATTTTAAACCATGTTTCTCAAGCGTATTGCATTTGGCTAAATTCCAGCTGAGAATGAAAATATCAGTTTCACTCTCGTACGTGAAACATTTTTCTCGGTGACAGGGCGTGTGGGGAGGTGCTGCTCATGACTATTTGGGGGGGGGGGTGGTGGTGACACGTGGCCCCCCAATGATCCGATCAAAATCCCTCATTTCGATCGGATCATTGGGGTTTACAGTGAGGGAAAAAAAGTATTTGATCCCATGCTGATTTTGTACGTTTGCCCACTGACAAAGAAATATAATTTTAACAAATATAATTTTAATGGTAGGTTTATTTGAACAGTGAGAGATAGAATAACAACAACAAAATCCAGAAAAATGCATGTCAAAAATGCTATAAATTGATTTGCATTTTAATGAGGGAAATAAGTATTTGACCCCCTCTCAATCAGAAAGATTTCTGGCTCCCAGGTGTCTTTTATACAGGTAACGAGCTGAGATTAGGAGCACACTCTTAAAGGGAGTGCTCCTAATCTCAGCTCGTTACCTGTATAAAAGACACCTGTCCACAGAAGCAATCAATCAATCAATCCGATCCCAAACTCTCCACCAGTCAACGCCCTACCTGGTTGATTGACGTTGAGAGACCACGCCCACACACGTGATCGTCTGACGTCGATTCCCACGTCTACACAGTAGGGAACGATTAATGAAGGTTCATTTTAGACCACTGTTGATTCCCATGTTATCCCAATGCAAATCGATTTTATTAGCCTAAGCCACAAATAAATCGGTTCCCATGTTATCCCAATTGAAATCGACTCATACATCCGTAACTCTATTATAATCGATTCCTAATGTTATCCCATTAGGAATCGGCGCGAGTATAGTTAATCGAAATTTAAATCGATTTTCTCTGCAGGTGACTTGGCGCAGCAGCCACGGGGAGCCGAGCCGATCGATACATCATCGGGTGCCAGGTTGTGGTGGACGTGGGGAGCGGTGGTGCAGTGGTTAGCGCACTGTGTGTGTGTGGGGAGCGGTGGTGCAGTGGTTAGCGCACTGTGTGTGTGGGGAGTGGTGGTGCAGTGGTTAGCGCACTGTGTGTGTGGGGAACGGTGGTGCAGTGGTTAGCGCACTGTGTGTGTGTGGGGAGCGGTGGTGCAGTGGTTAGCACACTGTGTGTGTGTTGAGTTTTTGTGCGTTGGGGTGGTAGCTGTGGACACAGTGGGTACTGTGTGGTTAGTAGTGACAAGTACATTATTATACAGCAGTGCCTTAAACTTGTTATTAGATTCAAGTATAACGTTGCAATGACTATTGTTTGCTAAACATAACTTAACATTTTTAATGACTGAGTTCAGTTTATGCGTGCGTTGGGGTGGTAGCTGTGAACGCAGTGGGGACTGTCTGTGTACTCAGTAGTGAGTAGTACATTATTATACAGCAGTGCATCTCATACACACACACATCTCATACACACACACACGCATCTCATACACACACATGCATCTCATACACACACACACATGCATCTCATACACACACACACATCTCATACACACACACATCTCATACACACACACACATCTCATACACATACCCATCTCATACACACATCTCATACACACACGCATCTCATATACACACACACTCGCATGCATCTCATACACACACACAAAGACAAAGACCCCCGTATAGCCTTAACATACTCGGGGCAATGGCTGGGAGCCAACACCTATGAAGGCCGGCCCAGCACACGATGGGGTGGGTGGCCAAACACCACGCCCGGCCGCATTTGTCTCCCAAGTGGCGATGTTCACACCCTGCACCAAGTACTCATTTAAGGCTGAGTTGACTTCAAAGACGGAAACAGGAATACTTCTTCACAATTATGGCAATTCGCCTGATAAAGCTGGTTGTAATAATCAGTGAAACGTCATACTCTAATGGTAAATGTTCTGGGTTTACTATCCAATACACCAGTGTGCTGAAGCAGTAACTTATTGGCACGTTTTGTTTACGTGAAATATGCTCTGACTTTAACATAGCTATTTCTGTGACCAGTTACAAGCTAATCACTCAGCTATTTCAATGCTAAATTCTATGCTAATTCCTTTGTTAAGGGGTACCTCTGCGGATGTGTATACTTTAACTTAGCTATTTCAATGAGTCATTTCAATGCTAAATTATATGCTAATTCCTTTGTCAAGGCGCTTTGTGTTCTTCTTCTGACACAGCTTAAAGGTCGTGATCTAAGCGTGGCTTCTCTCACTCCAGCGCTGTCCTCCAGACAGTCTCGTCCCTTCACCTGATGAAGGCCGCTTGTGTTGTGGCCGAAACGTCGTGATTTTTTGTTATTTTATTTTCACCCACGTGACTTTACCCAATAGAACTAAAGAGTATATTTTATACTTTTTGCATTGTTTACAGTCTGGAAGCTACCCACATGGCAAATTTCAAGTTTGTTGCATGTCGGAAAGTATGCTAAACATTTCGAACAGACACACATAATCACAAATTTCCCTTTTATATATACAGACGAAGGGGTGGGTGACAACACCACGCCCGGCCGCCTTTGTGTCCCCAGTGGCGATGTTCACACACCACAGCAATTACTCGTTTGAGGCTGAGTCGATCTAAGGGAGGCCCAGGAGCGGTTGAAATAATCGTCACCGGTGGTGGCCGTGAGCGGGAATTGAACTCAGGTTGCCGGGTTCGTAGCGCAGTGCGCTAACCACTACACTAATGCGTTACGCTTCCACATGCGTGGGTCACGTGACAGATTTGACGTCACAGCTCACTTGCCGTGCAGAAAAAAATGCATTATTGAGCTCCCCTCCCCTCCTCCCCCCCGAAAAAACACAAAAGTGTATTTTAATAATTTTTGCGTGGTGTACAGTCTGGAAAGTACCCACATGGCAAATTTCAAGTTTGTTGCATGTCGGGAAGTACGCTAAACATTTTGAACAGACACATAATCACAACTTTGCCTTTTACATGTGTATGGAAATAATTTCGGCCAGGGCTGCTCTGTGTCAGCGACTCTGAAAAATATGCTGACACCCGGCACACCACGTCCCGTGTGTACCTTTCGCTATCGCCGTGGCTACCGGGGCTGTGCTGCCCACTCCACTCCGCACCAGCGACCCAGAAAATATTCAGTGACAGATTAAGCCCTGATTATTATTCACACAATTACACGTCCAGTGGAATTTGAACACGTGATTTCGTGCTTACGGGACAAGGTGTTTACTCGGTGGGCCATAGCTGCAGCTCCCCAATGCTGCATAAACCCACGGTTCTTGTTAAAATTCCAGTTACAGTAATGCTACTTTATCAGGCACTGGCTGTATTTCCACTGAAATACACAAGGAGAATTCTCTGTTATTACGAATCTTATATCTGACATGTTTAAGTGGTGCTTTTCTGTTCGGTGAAATGTGTTGCTATTAAATGTGATGCGAGCAAAGAGACGTGTTTATTGATCGCTGATCGATCGATTGACTTCATGGCCGAGCGGTAGCGCGTTGCAGATGTTTGTGGTACGAGCCCCACGACCACCCCGGTTAACGCTGTGGGTGTATGAACTGTAAATATTGCGGACTGTCTGCTTCACAGTCGGATGCTGAAGATCTCGGAGATGTAATTTAAATCAGTAGTATGCCACGTGTGTCGGCACAATTCTGTAAATGCGACAACTACTGTGGGCTGTCCGTGAAGCGTAGCGCCTCCAGGGTGTAGCCTCGTGTGTACGCTGAGCTTGTTTCGCACCGTACGTAGCCAACCGTGCTCATCGGAGGCGCCTTGCGCTGCACGAATGGAGCGGACGCCAACGTGCACTTGCAAAACCCAAAAGCTTTTTGATTGCCCTCGTTTTGTCCGTTGAAGACGATGCAAGCCGCGCCGCAGGACGATGGCCGCGAGCACGAGAAGCCGTGCCTCAGCGAGTCCCGCGCGGCAGAGCTGGTGGAGCGCCTCTACGGGGTGAGCGTGGCGGGGGTGAGCCCGCTGGCGAGCTACGTCGACCAGAACTACCGTGTGCTGGCGCGCGACGGTCGCCAGTTCGTGCTCAAGGTCACCAACACGCGGGACAGCCAGCGGCCGCACATGCTCGAGGTGCAGATGGCCATGATGAGTTTCCTGTGGGAGAGGGGCTTCCCCATGCAGGAGGTGGTGGACAACGTCAGCGGGAAGATCATGTCGCTCGAGAGCATCGGTGAGCTGCGCCTGCGGGGGTCCCGGGAGCAGAGACATTGGAGAAGACATGTACATAATACTAAATCTTGTTCTATTTGATGTGCTTCTCCATCTCTCTTTGTCTCCCCCTACATGCTAAGGCCTCGGCACAGAGACCCTATCTCTCTGTGCTCCGTATGTTGTGTCTCTCTTTGTGTCTGTGTGTGAACTCCCTCCACTTAGGTGTCTGTATATATCTCTGCGGTTCTGTGTTTCCTCTCTCTCTCTTAAATTTAGCTCTTCTATGCCTGATGATGATTGCTTGCGTTGCAATCGAAACGTCGTATGCTATTATGTAATTTTATTTTTTCTTATTTCTACGTGACTTTACCGAAAAAACCAAAGAGTAATTCCTGCAGTCACGAAAGCGACAAATCAAGTTTAATAGATGTACAGTGCAGTACAATTGATTTTGCTCCAACTGAACTCTGGCCCCCACAACATAGCACCACGCAGCAGCCTGTGATGCCTGTTTAATGCACGATTGTCACCCATAGAAGCCCTAATCCAGGCTCAACCTGCTTTGCTTTCAGATCTTACGATAGGGCACATTCCAGGTGATTTAGTCATAGGCTGATAGTAATCATACGAATACAGCATTGGTTTATACTTGCAAAGACAACGATCAATATCCGAGCATGAGGCGGTGGTACGATACTGGGTCGCACTCCACTGACGATAAGTGATGTAAAAGGATCATACTTTTTAGTTTTTGTGAGGTTGGTGGATGTAACACACTGCTTGTTGGTACTGGCCCAAGGTCCACATTGTGATATTTTGTAAATTCTTCATATATATAAAAAAACAATGTTTGGTGTGTGGGATGAAACTGGAATGACTGCTCACAGCAAAGCCACACGGACGAGACGATAACATCTGTGGTGAGAGATCAGAAGCACACTTGCTGTTTTCTCATCTACTGACCTGCAGGTTGGTAGATATAATGTTTGTACAGTTCACCGACGCCGCCATTCGCCAACTGCACAGTGTGTTCCACCTCCCCACACCTCCGATGAGCACGGTTGGCTACGTACGTATGGTGCGAAAGAATTTCAACATACTTACAAAACCTAAATCGTAATTTTTGTTTCTGCTTATCTTCCCACGAGACCCTGAGACGTTTTAATGGCACAGAGAAGCAAACGTCAAACTCTTTGCATCGAGTTCCGGATTGGCTGACAAGGGGAACACGTCAAACCAAAACCATGTATTACATGAACAAGCATAGACGGGAGAGAGATGTCACAAGCGATATATTGTAGAGATATGAGAGAAATTTATTCATGATAAAGGTTTTTGGGTGAGATCGCGTTATTTATAAATGTGTCATAACCCTCCACCACCCGACACAGCCAAACAGTAAAAAATGAGTCACGTTGACAACAGACAAAATAGTTCACTACTTTAGCCCACCGGTGTGATGAAGAGTGAATCCACAACATTTACAATATTTGAGTACGACGTTTCGCTGGTAATTACATCCAGCATCATCGGGCAATTCACCAGAATGGTGAAGCCCTCACTTGCTCCTGGTCTTAAATAGAGCAGCAGGGTGATGTCATCATTTAACTCATTCATAGAGAGAGATTTAATCAGAAATATGATATTTATATGGAAGAGATAGGAGAAAGATCTATCCGCAAGAGGAGAGATTTAGAGAAATGCAAACATGTCGATACAGAGCTTATCTCTCCCCCACACCCACTCCGACCTCCTGCATCGCATCACTTCTATTAATATTATTATTATTGTAATCATCAACGTTACACTTGTTTTCACAGCAGAGCCTCACTGAGTATCGGGAGGGTCTTGTCAAACTTTTCAGTTGGGGGGCGGGCGTGGGAGCGACGGTTGTCGTGTGTAATTTCAAGTGAGTATTGCTGACTGAGACATGTACTTAATTAGTTCTTGTAAGGCGTGGCGGGATAGTTGTCCTGTAGACCAGAATGAATTAATTTTGGTGGTTCGGGCTTGGCCCACGGGCTGTAGTTGGGACAACCCTGGGCTGCTAAACATTTGTAAAGCAAAGTGCTTCATAGCTCATCGGATTCCTCCAGTAAAAGTACATATTCTGATTATAATGCCTGGGCTAGCAGCGCTCCTTTAAACCCAGGCTCGGGGTTCATCGCGTGAGCTGACATCACCGCCCAACGCCGTGTTTGGAATGCGAAGATCACGGAAAGCCGCTGACCCTTATATTTACGTGATGGAACGAGCGATAAAAGTCGCCTCCTGATGCAGATGGGCCCCCATTCACCCTGCTCCTAAGTAATTTGCTCAAGCTGAACCCAGGGAATTCAGCTAGACTCGTGTGCTGACGTATCCATTCTGGCCCGAATCTGGGTGAATTGCCCCCGGTTCCGGTCAGCGTGCGCTAAGGCACGAGGGTTGCGTGCCACGTTGCAACTTTGGCGGATGCCTTACGCATGGGTGTGGCGAGGTATTATTCCTCTCAAATGCTTTATTTAGCTATAGCGGTTTAGACAACAAGGCCATATAGGAATGCGAATTTCGGAATGCGTTCGTGTTATTAATTTCTGCGTTAATAGTACCGTGAAAGAAAGTCATGAGGAAAAAATCACTCCAATTTACTATTTTTGGGGGGGGGGGGAACAGAAATACTCGATTCAAGTTGCTTGAGAGATTGGCGTTTTAAAGACTACACGAATTTTACGTGCGTTATATATCGGACTTGGCACGTTCATTATTGTTATTAACCATTTAATGCTGAGCAGCAAATTGTCGCTTAATTTCCTAAAAAAAGAATAGTAGCCTTGGCTATCAGTTGAGCAATTCATAAGAGACCCTGTGTAGTATAGCACGTGGGTAATGAACACAGGGCGCAAAGTGGTGAGTTGACACTTTGGCCAGACCTTGGAGGTTCCGATATCAGCTTCCGAACAGCTTTTTATGTTCCAGCAAAAGGAAGCGACGGTGAGATTTCACTAACCGTGGTGACCTCTTGACCTCGGTGGCGACTCCTGCTGTGAATTCTCAGACTGCGGCGAAGGAGAGAAGGAGTTCAACGTGCGGCTGCTCACGTACCTGCCCGGCGTGCCGCTGTCCAGGGTGCTGGCGGATGGCAGCCTGTACTACCAGGTGGGCAAGCTGGCAGCAAGCATCCACCAAGCCCTGCAGCAGGTACGAGAGCACGAGCGCCTCTTGACAGGTGACGTGAGACTGCAGGGATTCATATTCTTGTTGCTTTCGGTAAAGTCACCACGTAGAGGGGGAAACAATACAATAATAAAAAATATAAAACAATAAAATTCTCACGACGTTTCGACTGCAACACAAGCAATCGTCATCAGGTGTGAAAACCACAACAAGGAAATTTGAAAAAAAAAATATTGCTGTGGTTTTCACACCTGATGATGATTGCTTGTGTTGCAGTCGAAACGTCGTGAAAATTCTATTGTTTTATATTTTTATTATTTTATTGTTTCCCTTCTACATGACTTTACCGAAAGAAACAAGAATATGAGAATATTCGCCAAAGTAAAAAGCCAAAAAATAAATAACTCGCAAATTACTTCATTGGGAAATGCGGAGCGATAGTTTCCCCAACCCCTTACTGCGACAATCTTTAAAAAAAAACTCTTGAGTCTCGGCGAGCCTTTTCTCTCGGTAAGCAAGTGTAATGTGACGTAACGAGCCCACTCGCTCGGAACGTACGCAGCTGTTCATAATTAGCAACGTGAGAGTCCTTCCAAGTGATCGAATGGCTGGTTTTCAAGCAGCGTATTTTTGGTTTAACATGTAGGCTTTCGCGACCAATATTATTCATAATAAAGGTTTTTGGGTTAGATCGCGTTTATTTATAAATGTGTCATAACCCTCCACCACCCGACACGGCCAATCAGCAAAAAAAGTGTCACGTTGACAAAAAGACAAATAATTCACTACTTTAGCCCACCGGTGTGTTGAAGAGTGAATCCACATTTACAGTTTGAGTACGACGTTTCACTGGTAATTACATCCAGCATCATCGGGCAATTCGCCAGAATGGTAAAGCCCTCGCTTGCTCCCGGTTTTATATAGAGCAGCAGGGTGACGTCATCACTTAACTCATATCAGGTTCAGTGATTAGAGGTGGAGGGGGGGGTATTGTAATTATATAATCGATTAGTAATCAGTCATTGTTTATGATTATTAATGAGTTGTAGATTAGTAATTCTTTAAATCAAAATGTAATGTGTATTATTTAATAATATGCTTCCAGGCCTCACTAAGCCTGTAGCTGTCAGAGCGATTAAAGTTATTCTTGTTCCTCTCAATTTCAATGGATTCTCTAATTAGTCTTTGCCAGTAATAATTAGTTTTACACACCACTGCAACATTGTCAAAATCAATTGAGTGTCCTTGTTGACAAGCATGTTCTGCCACTGCCGACAGTTGTGTTTTAGATAATTTAATATTTCTCTGATGTTCTTTTAGTCTTGCGCTGATGTTACGTCCCGTCTGTCCAATGTAGCAGCTGCCACATAAACAATTAATCCAATATACACCTTCTGTTGATAATTTAGGTAATGCGTCTTTAGTCCCAGACACTAGTTTTTTTAATTTTGTGTACTGTACCAAATCTTACTGTAATGTTTTACTTTTGCAAAACACGGGCTAATTTGTCAGTTACTCCCGAGATATATGGAATTTTTATTGTTTTAACAATCTGGTCGCTTTCAGCAGTATTGCTTTGCAATCGTGATTTGGCATTCAGTGCTCTGTTAATTTGAGCATTATTGTAGCCATTCTGTCGTAGTGCGTCTTTAACGTGGTTAACCTCTCTCACTAGACTCTCACCATCTGACACTGTTTTAGCCCGATGTATGAGCGTCTTGATAAGAGAGGATTTCTGAGCTGGATGATGATGTGATTCTGCATTCAGATAGGTATCAGTGTGCATTTGCTTTCTGTAAACGCTGTGTGTTATTTTACCGTTTAGGCCATGTCCAAGCAAAATATCTAGGAATGGGAGTGTGTTATTCACCTCCATTTCCATGGTGAACTGGATGGCCGGGTTTTGTGCATTGAGATGATTTAGAAAATCATTCAGTGTATCTTTACCATGTGGCCAGACAACCAAAGTGTCATCCACATATCTAAACCAAAAGGATGGTTTTAATGTGCTCGAGGCAAGTGCTCTTATTTCAAAGTTTTCCACATACAAATTTGCTTTAGCAGGGGATAAAGAAGAACCCATTGCTGCTCATTCCTTTTGTTTAAAGAAATCCCCTCTCCATAAGAAGTAAGTGTTATTTAAACAATGGCCAGCAAGTTTCGGAATATATTTTGGTAAACCGGTATTCTTTACTAGTGTATCAAGTAATTTAAGCGATTCGTCCACTGGAACCTTAGTGAATAGAGAAATCACATCAAAACTTACCAGAATATCATCAGGAGTAAGTTTAATATCTTTAAGCACATTCACAAGATGTTCTGAATTTTTTTTTTATGAATGAAGATGTCCTACCGATGTAGGGCTGTATTTGTTGGGTTATATATTTTGCTAATTGATATGTGGCAGAGCCAATTGTACTGACTATGGGTCGTAATGGGATGCCGATTTTATGAATCTTTGGTAGCCCATAGAGTCTAGGTGGTTTTGAGGCCCTTGGCTTAATTTGGTATTGCTCATTTTTAGGGATTAATGAATTTGCAATTATTGCAGTGGTCTTACGTTCTAAAGTATTAGTTGGATCTCGTTTAATTTTAATGTAGGTGCTTTCCTCTAGTAAATTTCTAATTTATTATCATAATCGGCTCGTGACATCACTACAGTAGTGCGGCCTTTATCAGCTGCTAGGATTTGGATATCCTTGTTTACACGCAGCTCTCTTAAGGCTTTTGCCTCGTTAGAGCTAATATTTACTTTTGGAACTTTGCTATTCTCAATTATTTTAGCAACCTCATGTCTAGTCATCTCTGCCTCATTATGTGGAAGGAGTCTAACTGCTGATTCTACCTCAGCAATGATCTCATCCACTGGAATTGTGCGTGGGGTAACGGCAAAGTTAAGGCCTTTAGAAAGGATAGAGACCATGTCACCGGTTAATACAGTGTTAGTCAAGTTCAGTACGGTTTTGTTTTTAAATTTTTGGTTTTCAGTAGGGATTTGTTTATTATGTAGTCTAGAAAATGTATTAATTTGGTTAGTTTTTGTTAGTTTAAACACATTATGAGCCGATTGTTGTGTTATGTTATCGATTATATTCCAATAATGCATAGATACACTATTGCTTATATCTAAGTGTAACTGCTTTAGCGATTCCGAAATGTAAGATAGTTCACTCCTATTGTGCTGTATTCTCTCTATTAATAATAATTCGCTAGCTCTGTGTAGTATTTGGTTAGCTTTAGAAGACTTTATGTGATGTGTTATTTTAACTGCGTTTGGTATTACCTTTGAATCTCTGCACCTTTTGAGGAACGCCAGTGAAGATATCAATTTCATCCGCTTAATGCGGAGCTTCTCCAATTTTCTGGTTTTAAGAAAAGTATCCTCCCCATAGAAGTTAGTCAGTTTAACATGTAGGCTTTCGCGACCAATATTATTCATAATAAAGGTTTTTGGGTTAGATCGCGTTTATTTATAAATGTGTCGTAACCCTCCACCACCCGACACGGCCAATCAGCAAAAAAAGTGTCACGTTTACAAAAAGACAAATAATTC